GCTGACACAATCCGCCATTTTGCTCATTTAATTTGTTTGTTTTGAAGTAGTGGATTAGTTTTAAGTAATAATATAATGCATGAATAAACATATACATTTTATTAAAAATTCATGATTGGTAAGTTTTTAATACGAATACTTTACAAACATATATTTAAATTAGGTTAGGTTCCCCGTTTAATACTAACTTCGTGTCCTAGAGGAAAATAGCTACTTACGATCCGACAGCGCTTACCGCTTACGATCGCCATTTTGCTTAGAAGCGCTTGCTAGCGCTTTTTTCTGCCAAACGCACCCATTGACTTGTGATCAGTAATTAGAATTTTAAAAAATCCCGAAATACTGTCATAAGTTTAGTTAAAATAAATTCTCTGACACATCTTGTTTACTATTATTATTGTAAGTAACTTGAAATGAAAAAGGATAATGATTATTTTATCTTAATTGATATACAAGGTATTTGTTATGAGCTTATGAGTAAACCTTTTTTAGATATCACTATTATAACATGAAGCAATAATGGTAATATTATGTAGCACACGTTCAAAAATACTTTAATATATAAAAATTAAAAAGAAAATATAAAAACTCCACTAAGAACCGCCAACTCCTTTCTCACTCTGAAGCCGCAATATAACTTTTTTTATAGCATTGGGTGACAAACGAGCACACAGTTCACCTGATAGTAAGTGGATACTGTGATGCATAGTCATCCACATTTATCATCAATTAAGGATCAAAATGCAAATGAGTTGTTACCCGTGAGGAGTAAGATGGAATGCCTCTATTCCAGTAAAAAGGGTCTCCAGTTCTCTACACTCACCATACGAAACACAGCAGCGTAAAGCTGCTATTTTACACTGGTATTCTGTGTGACATGTGATAGACTCAAAGACAGTTCATTGGTATTCAGACATATTAGATGTGTGAGTGAGAAAAGCATATGAGAATAGGTGAAGAGGAATGATTATTGAGTATTAATAGTAAATATGAGTTTTATATGTTTTCATTATCATCATTACAGCCCTTCACAAGACCACTTCTGGACATAGGCCTTCTCGAAGGATTGCCACAAAGCACAATCCTAAGCTACCTGAATCTATGGACTTTTTACATATCTTATCATGTCATCCCTCCATGGTGTAGGGGGCCGCCCTGGCATTGGCAGAATTATTGTGACCTATCCATAAGATCGAGTCCATATTTAAAAAAAATGTGCACTTTCGATGCTGCAGTGTTCAATTCATGATTTGTTACTAATTCAGACTGGCAAAGTCCTTTGCTGAACATAGGCCGCCCCTTTTCGCACGCTTGGCATGCAAGTTGGCAACCACAGTATTTTTATCTTTTAGTTGTTATTATGGAGATGCTGCTGCCCATATCCTGTTTCAGTTTCCCTCTATCACTTCTTACGACACCTAGAGGACGGTCAATTTATGATATTTTGGGTTATTACTTCAAACAAAGTACAATTTAAAAGAAATCCAAATACTTAACCCAGTCAATTTTAAATAATTCACTATTTAAAAGAAAAATTACAATTCACAACTGACTGATAATACAACTGCTGGCTAAGTGTATTTTGCAATGAGCAAATAAAGAATCAAGGTGAACATAATTAAGTAATATGCGGTGGGCTGGTTCATAAACACAAAAGGACAGTCCAATTTGATTTCTCTAATTCACTTATGTTTTTTGTTTTTATTTTCTTGTCGTAAATTTCTGTTTTTAACCAAATTCAATAAACAAGAAGGTTCTACATGTTGCATATGATTATCGAGGTTGTGAATATGATTTTTTATGTATGTTCTCTGATTTATCAGAAATGGCTAAATCCATTTTAAAGAATATATAGGTAATAATTTAATAATAAATGATAAATTTTAAGCACAGATATCTTCTTGATTCCGCATTACTATTGAGAATTTCTTGACTGTAAAACTCAATAACTGATTTTGACCAATATAGGATTTGAACCTAACATGTTATGAGAATTGGATGCACTTTTTAGACCAGCAAGGTAGTCATGTAGTAAATCACCAAAGAAAACAATCATTGTTATACTTTTAAAAGTTAGTGGATATATGGAGATGCTCACGATCATAGTACTGAAACTGATATCTCACTTGTGCAAAAATACACTTGTGCACATGGACAATAAATATATCTAATCCCTGAAAACTAAACAAACCATGACAGTGAAAGCAAACGGTTTGAAAAAATGCATGACTGAAAAACTCAATTTTTTATTTGGACAGACATGATTTTCATGAGCATGCAAAGATCCTCTCAGATATTAGCTCACCATAATGTGCTAGCCAAGTTTCAAAAAGAAAAGGCTAAACACTGCAATGTGTATATTTACATGAACTCTACTTTTTCCCAAACTCAAAAATTATTAGACATATATACTTGTAATCTTTGATGACACTTGATGCCTAAGATTCCAATTTCATGAATAAACCTACTACAGTTCTTGATTATTAAGGTCTAAAAAAATTAATTTTTACCACTCACTCACCGACTCACTCCTCAAAAACCTAGGCCTCTTTATTTCTTAGTAGAAATTTAAATTTCGAAAAAATTCCAAGGAAGACCATTAGGCATATACAAAGGAAATCTAAAACTAAAAATTATCCATATAATCCGTATAATAAAAGTTATTGGTACTGTTTAGTTACTTGAAACTAATCACATCAAGAATTTTACCAACATTTAATTTTAGATTTTAAGATAACACAAAACTAAACTAAAATATAGCTGAATATAAAACTTTGGGGTAAGGTTTACAATTCGGTCGTCTGAAATAGGGGGTGGGGGAGGGGGAGGAGTTGTAGTCACCCCCTACTTCCCCTTCCTGCTGGACGTGCTTAGTTTTTTTTTTATAAATTTTTAAAAATCTCATTTTGAGGTTATGATTCGTAATTTTTATGACAATTTTAACCTGATTTATGGGGAGAGAGACTTGGGGGACGGAAGCCCCACGCCACTTCATCAATTCAATCAAATCAATTACGGTGGTTTGAAATTTATCACTTAAAAATATGTACGTATTTACTTAATATTATTGTTACTGTTTATAAACAGCCATCAATTAGATGATTGTATTAAGAGTTTGTATAATGTATGTGATTGTACTATTACCTTTAACTGTGTGAGACTGTAACTTGCGGACAAACCTCACGGGGCTCCTACTTCTGGGTGGTGTACAAAATATAACCACGAAGGGGATGACGGGGTCTTCTAACCTAACCTGTCCGAGTTGGGGTGCCCCACGTCCTAGGCTCGCTTCGCTTGCTATTGCACCCAATATAACACCAAAACATTAACTTCTATAACTAATTTATAAACATAATTTATGGCTGCCACCATTTGTAAGAAAGGATCTTTGCGATATTTAGCAGTATTCCACCGCCACAAATATTCCACTATTCACCAAAATTATGAAACTCGGAAGCAATGGCATGATGAAAAACTGTCAACAAAATGGCCGGCCTAGCAATTAATTTTACACATTTTTAAATCGATTCAAATCGAAATTGGATGAATCGATTCATAAAAAATTGAAATCTTAAAGATCGATTTCGCAAAAATTGATCTTTTTTTGATTTGCATTAGAAGTTTATATTTACAATATCAAAAGATACAATAAAGTACAGACAACATTGAATTATTGAATTAAAAACTGTCATTCAGGGTATATTCTACTAATTGTAAATAATTTTACATATCTTAATAAAACAGAAAAAGTTTCGATCTCGATTATCTAGGGTGAAATATTGTTTCACTAGATTGATTCAGTACTATATATTGGTATGATACTGACAGATGATACGTCAAAAACTTAATTAATTAGTCATTTACCAATATTTTTAAAAAATAATTAAAAATTCTTTGACACTGCTCCGGTAGCAAAAATCGAGTGGGGGTGCTTCAGATAAACCCCCTTGACCATAGTAAACCCAACCGAAACTTTGTTTTAGGAGAGCGAAATTTACATTTTCTTTCATTCTTAACAACCTTTTGAATTTACTCCTGAATATAGGCCTTTTCAAGGTCAAATAATTCATATTTGCCATACTGGAAAGATGTGCTGGTAAGTGGAGTATTGATACCTTCACTAGTAAGCCTGCTATCTTATTAATTTGAAAGATTTAGTTGTTGTTTAGTTAGGCATATTCTAATGGAATATCCATTCTGCCATTTCTCTGTCACTAATACCATATTAATTAACAGAGTATACTTTGAGCAGTTAAGGCTGATATTCGGAGAAAAAATATATACCCATTATACTATATATAACCATTACACTTAACAACTGTTGCTACATATAACTTATACTTGTAATTGTTGGGACTTGATGAAAGTTCCATCTTCATGAAGAAAAACAATTAACATATGTATGCTTATTGTTCTTACTATTTATATATCCTATGATGCTATGAGGTGAAACCCGACAGATTTTATAGTTGAAAACTAAAAAAATAACTGTTGCTGAAACAAGCGCATGTGTCAATCCAAATCACAAGAAACTGCAAAGATATGGCACATATAATACACTTCATGTTATTTTAATGGCCAATAGTGCACTGATACATAATAAAGGTAAACAACTACACTACAAGCATTGCTAGTGTTCTTGTATTAAATATAGTAAGTTCTTACAGAGCTGGGCACTATATTGAATGAAATGAAAACAATATTTTTCTGATTGGAAATAGTTCTCGGTTAATTAATTACCAGTAGTTGGATACACGTCCTGTAAACATATAAATGTCGAAAACGATAACAATTTTATAATTTACTATAAATTAAGCTAAATTATGAAAAATAATTGTTAATATAACATACAATATTATTTTAAAGTAATAGGCTAAATTGCATACACCATGTATGATACTGACACGTGAATTACATTAAAATATCTCCTATTCATTAAGTTATTGAGGCATAAGGACATAATTTACATAAAAAATTGGTAAAATATTGCTTTTACTTACACTTTATCAGCCAGCTCCCTCACTTTCCACATACTTATAAAACGATCCATTTTGCACCAATATTAACAGATACCTTTATGAAACAATAATATCACTGTAATTTCACGAAAAATAACATAAAATTAACTTAAAACGCGAGCTGATGATTTGGCTGACATTATTGCAAAATGGCGAGTGAAATATTGCCCGTATAAAAATATCTCTTGTTAAACAAATTGTCATTGCCTCAACTTAGCAACGCACGGTCGTATTTTCGCCAGTGTTAAAAAATATGAAATTATACCACCACAGAATAAATTATAATTCAAGAACAGAAGGATCACAAGAACATTAGTCGGGATAATAAGAACATTAGTGTTCAATGTGAGGAAGGATATGCGTAATCCAAAAAAAAAATTATAACAACGTCTTTGAAACTCAGATAATTTACCTATTACCTACTGTTTCATATTTTTTACGCTATTTACAAATATCCGACACGTTACGGCATTATTAATGAAAGAGTGGCAATGGGAAGTGCTACTATTATCAATCTCTCTCTTTTATCGACCAAGTGTTCAACAGATATCCAGTATATGGTGATCTTGCATTAGTAGGCAGTGATTAGTACTAGGATGTCTACATATACTGAACTTTTATTTAAAGTCATTGACATTATACGCGAAAAAATCGAAAACTGTGAATTTGTGGCCGGCTCGCTAGTCAAATAATAAATCTGTAACTATGGGGCCAGTAACTAGGTATCTGTAAATAATAATGTCTTAACTTTCGGTATCCTTAGGAACAGTAATGAAAAGTCGACATTACTATTGTTACTTAAACACCCATATGCCATGCAGTATCTTTTGGCTTTTTGAGTGACCATACTTGAATAAAAACTCAAAAATAAATATCAAAAGTGCCTAAATACTTACAAGAGAAAAATACTTTTTGTCAATGTAAGACGCACGTCAGCTCAACCGCGAGAGAGACAATCTCACTGAATTAGTACAGTTGTAAATAAAAGTTTGACTTTAGTAAATATAATATGTAATATCCCAATAAATCAGGAAACCCAACAGATTCGGTAGAAGTATAAAAATAATAGCAGGTTGAGATGCGATTGCATCTATTATAGACCCAATAACTTGTTTCGCCTATAGAACTGCTGTTTACTGAATATTAATAGTTTTGATATATTTTAAAATATCTCCAGATATATATTATTATATACATCTACCGAATCTGGTGTGTTTCATGATTTACTGAGATATTACTTTATTATGTTTGCTAAAGTAATATTTTTATTTAAATTTGGTACTAAATTTCACCCCACTAATCTCTATTTTATTAGAGTACCTACTTAGTGCCAATACTTAGTATTTTTTAAATTATTCTAGATCAAATGTTAAGTTTTTTTAATGTTATTAAATACTCGTAGTTGCGCGAAATCAGTTCGGTTTTACAAGGGGTCTCTCTACAACTGACGCCGATGTTAATTTTTTTTGCGCAAAATGCAAATAAGAGGAAAAAAAACTCCTAGTAAAACGTACACTAGTGGACCGCCAAGCAATCAGATGGTGTGCATGGTATCGGAAATTTTGGCGCGATGTGCGTTCGTGAAATTTTGGCGGCTGAAACTAATCGGAACAATTCCTCAGAACACTCACCATGGTAGATACGATAGAAAAGGCAAAGGGATGCAACATCTTTACGCAGCGCCAGTGAATCCAGCCGATCAGAAAGAACTCAGTCGTCGACGATTCAAATCGCTCTGCGCGGGATGCGGTTAAGTGGAAGGCTAGCACTGGGGTGCCCCAGCCCAGAGATGAGAACAGTATTCCATTTGAGGCCGAATTTGCGCTTTGTAAAGTTGCAAGCGATGTGCCGGCAAATACTCTGAAATACTCTGCTCTGCTGAGCACGCTAAGCTTTTTAGAGTTCAATTTGGCCTTCCCCTCTAAGTAACCACGAAACTACACACTATTCGATATGTCGACGCTGAAGATTCTGATTCTAGCTGAGGCAGCAAAGAGAGTGCCTTCAAACTGAGGAGATAAGACAAAGAGGTTCTTTTTAGCGGTTAACGCGCAAACTTGTGACTTCTGGGGATTGAATTGGACTAGATTTAGTCGCCCCCAATCCAAGACTTTGTCAAGCAAAGACTCGACCTCAGACACAAGTTTGTTTCGGTACTCGGCGATATCCCGAGAAATATTGGCTCGGCCGGTGTATAAGGCATCACCAGTGCTGTCGTCTGCATAGCAATGAATGTTATCAATTTGCAACATATCATTGATGTGCAGAAGAAACAGCGTTGGAGATAGCACGCAGCCTTGTAGAACACCAGCGTTAATAGGCTTGTAATCAGAGCATGCACAACCTTTATGCTTCGATTAGCAAGAAAACCAGTGATCCAATCGCACAATTTCGCGGGATGCCCATAGGAAGGGAGCTTTGAAAGAAGCGCTTTGTGCCAAACCCGATCGAAGGCCTTCGCAATGTCCAAATTAACGGCCAATGCCTCCCTCTTGGACTCTACTGCGTCCGCCCATCTATGAGTAAGGTAGACCAGAAGATCACCAGCTGATTGACTACCACGGAAACTGTATTGGCGGTCACTGATCGGCTGGTGATCCTCAAGGTACCTCATGAGCTCGCAGTTTACAATAGATTCCATTATTTTGGGGAACAAGGATCACTATAGGCCTGTAGTTGGACGGGTCTGAGCGGTCACATTGTTTAGTGATCGGGTGGACCAAAGCTGTCTTCCAAGAATTCGGGACTACGCCTTGCGAGTAGGAGTACCGGAAAAGAGTGTTAAAACCGGTGCTAATACCGGAGCACACGTCTTCAGCACAATTGGAGGGACTCCATTAGACCCATTTGACTTACTGACGTCCAGTTAGAAGAGTGCTTTGCGAACCGAGCGCTGTGTAAACCGCACATCCGGCATGGAGCACTCACACCGCGGGATGGTCGATGGTGTGTTCCATCCGTCATCGAGAGTCGAGTTGGACGCTAAGAGAGAGCCTAATAGATCGGCTTTCTCCTTTGCGGCATGGGCCAGTGAGTCATCCTCTCTTTGCAAAGATGGAAGAGAAGACTGACAGAAGTTCCCTTGGACAGCCTTGGCGAGAGACCAGAATGTACGGGTTCCCGAAGGAAGTTAATTGGGAGTTATCTCTCTACTTCACGCTAGCCAGCTATATAACTTTTTTATAGAATAGGGTGACAAACGAGAGCATTATTCCTGATGGTAAGTGGATACTGTGGATCAGACATACACGTTTATCCTTAATTAAGAATTGATACCAGATGCGTGTCATCCCTAAGGACTACGATGGAATGCGAATGCCCCGTTTCCAGTAAAACGGGTCTCCAGTTCTCTACACTATACGAAACACAACAGCATGAAGATGCTATTTTATTGGTAGAGAGCTGCCGACACATTCGTGATACAACCATAATATAGCTGCAGCGTGATTCTACCACGTAAAAAAATCGTGTGCGTACTTAAACTTTAAACCGAAAAACTTATAATTAAAATTAAATTACTACTTAAATCTGCGTGACAAATAAGTTTAGCAATTTAGTCTCAACTAGCGACATATGGTGAGCGTAAGATTATTAGCACTTATTAAAATATATTCCTTTCCCAAATTTCATCCGAATGCGTTCCACCTTTACGAAGTGTATGCTCATTTTTAAATGGTGTATTTGGGTTGTAGTGTAAGGTTCTTAATAATTTTCAAATAAAACAAATAATTAATTTGAAAATATTTAATTTCCATGTAGCAACCCAGATCTACTGTGCCTATCATTCAATGGGTGCGTTTGGCAGAAAAAAGCGCTAGCAAGCGCTTGTAAGCAAAATGGCGATCGTAAGCGGTAAGTGTTGTCAAATCGTAAGTAGCTATTTTCCTCTAGGACACGATGTTAGTTTTAACCGGGGAACCTAACCTAATTTAAATATATTTTTGTAAAGTATTCATATGAAAAACTTACCAATCATGAATTTTTAATAACATGTATATGTTTATTCATGTCATTATATTACTTAATACTAATATTGAACAAAACAACTTTTAAACTCTACTTCAAAACAAACAAATTAAATAAGCAAAATGGCGGATTATGTCAGCGCTACTGAAGTAGCAATCGTGTCCTGGCCGAAAACTATTTTAGCGCTTGTAAGCGCTTGCTAGCGCTTTTTTCTGCCAAACGCACCCATTTTATTATTTTTATAAAGATTGGATTACGGAGTGTAGAAGAGGTAAGGAGTAGACTCTGTATAAAAAAGTAAAGTAAACCGTAAAAAAGTAAAGTAAATAAGGGTGGCGCCACTGTAGCTACAGTCTAAATTTTAGAACGTTTTATAATTTTTTTGTTGCACAGACTTTCGCCCGCTTTTTACAATAATTATTTTATTGCTTTTTTTATTTTCAAAATCACTCAACGTATTTTACGGCAATTTATCATACTCTGTAGCTACTCGAGCGCTGTTGTGGAGAGTTTTTGAACTGTTATTTACTACTTACAGATGGACACATTTTCAACTATTCTCTTTTTCCTTCCAATACCATGTTTGCAGGCCTTAGTCCCATGAGTTACTAGGAAGACAAAAATATTGTATATTCGAAACTTTTTAGTATTTCGTACTTGTTTTATTATTATAGACTAAAAGTAGAATGACATAAACATTAATAACATCAAGGACGTAATGTTACATGTATTGTAAAAAGTTCAGAAAACAAAACTCGTTTTCGATGTTGTAATAAATATAGCGATTCCTAAAGTTGTCATTCTTCACGTTCGAAAGTTGGAGACATAATTCTCGCCGCCATTTTACTTCTAATGGGACGGACCCATTAGAAGGTCATACATCATTTTTTTGCCAGCTGATCGTTTTGGGGTTGAGCACCATACTGCCAGAGCTCTATCGCCTTGTTTGCGACCACTTCTTCACATTGTTCAGGGATCTGGAAGTTGAAAGACAAAATTAATGTGTAATTGCTAATAAAAATTACAGTTACTAAGTGGACCCGCCACTTTTTCTGCCTAGGAGTCT